GTAATGTTGAGGAGCCAAATCCTAAAATTGAGGAAATTTGGAAGGTGACGATTAAACAGTCTCCTATTCCAATGCCAGATAAGGACACCGCAGTGCCATCAATAGTACCCACTGCATCAAAAATCTATTCTGTCTACCCGCAGGAGCCAAGTCCCAAGAGCGAGGATGTGAAAACCAACTCGCTGGAAGACAGTTTAATGGATGAACATGATTGAGGTTATCCAAATAAACCTCCATCGGAGCGAGACGGCTACCAACGCTCTGATGGTTAATATTAACACAGGTAAAATACATATAGCTTTAATCCAGGAACCTTGGACGATTCGCAAACAAGGTTTCTGGATTAAATAACGTAAATTTCCAACTCTGGTCTCGCCCGAGAACATGTATCTTATGCCACAAGAATTTATGTTTCCTCCTCTCAACAGGATTATCCACATCGGATGCAACCGTACTGAAGCAAGGTAGTGGCAACATATACCTTGCATCTGTTTACCTGCCCCTCGATTCGCCGACACTACCAACTTCGGATCTGATGAAACTGGATGAGAGGCACAAAGGAAAAATAAGAAAATTGTAATAGTTTGTGATGCAAATTCCCACCATGTAGTTTGGGGTAGTACAAACACCAATCGCAGGGGACAATAATACTAAAGACTTGATCTCATTGAACATAGGTAATAAAGCTACCTTTGTCAATAGAATCAGAGAAGAAGTATTAGATATAACTATATGTTCAGAAGAGCTTATAAACGAAATTCAGGATTGGAGAGTTTCGGACGAGCACTCCTTTTCTGACCATCGGTACATAAGATTCAAAATACTAAGAACACTACCAAAGCCGATAAAGTTTCGGAATAAGTCTAACACTAATTGGACAATGTTCGGGCCTTACTAAAGAACCGTTTAGGTCACGACAATTTTCAATGTCGAAATAAGGAGGATATAGAAGCCAAAGTAGAAACGTTCACAAATGCCCTAGTTGAATTGTTCGAGGACAGCTGCCCTCTGCCAGAGCGGATATCTACCCTGGGTAACCGGGGAGATCAGGAACCTTGGGAAGAGTCTTCGCATACTATTTAACCGGGTACGGCGTAAAAAGACCGCAGTATACTGGGATGAGTATCGTAATAAACTTGGTGAATATAAGAGAATTGTTCGAAAAGTCAAACGAGACTCCTGGAAACTTTTCTGTGAACAGGTAGATAGCGTTAATGACGTATCGAAAATAAAAATGTTCATATCCAAAACTCATGTTCAACCGGAATCTAATTAAAACCTTGGAACGGATAGTCAATAGTATGGTTAAAAGCAGTATACCCGACAAAGAACTAAAATTTAACCCGGCAAAAACGGAAATCTGTCTTTTCACAAGAAAGGCAAAAATTTCTACGTATTATTTCTACTGAACCTTGCTTCCTGAGCAAGAAGATACCAGTAACAGAAAAACTAAAGTACTTAAGCGTAATCCTCGACCGGAATTAAAATGGAGATACCAGGCGGCGCTTACAGCCGAACGGCTCTTTACTTTAGGCGAACTGGCCAAAAGCAGTTATAGGACACTTCAACAATGTATACTGAACACATCACACAATCATCGGACGTGCCTGATCGTATACAAGACACAGAATATGTCGGAAACTTTGAAACGCTGATCCCATATAGAATGTCTTGGTCAAGCGGTACATTAGAGCAAATACCATTAGGAATCCGTTGTTGGCTCTAAATTGGGGGACAAAGTGGGGCTGGGGTTCTATATTGAAGTCCCAGAAACAGAAATATACCACCGTTTACCAAATCATAACACAAGCTTCCAGGCAGAAGTACGAGCAATAAGAGAATGCGTAAATTGGATTAGAATAAATATGGCGCCCACAGGGCTTAATATATTTACTGACAGCCAGAAGGCAATTAGGGCGATGTCAGGTGATAGAACTAAATCTAAGACCGTATTGGCTGGTAAGAAAGCAGAGATGTGCTCGTAATTCAGTGTGTCCACTCAGAATACGTACCATTACACCAACTTCAGACTTGCTCATTTTGAGGAGATTTTTTGTCTTGCTCTCATCAGGGTCACCCCATAGAATCTTCGTGGTTCTACCCACTGTTTCATTATTCCAAGAGGCCTTATGGCGCCCACAGGGCTTAATATATTTACTGACAGCCAGAAGGCAATTAGGGCGATGTCAGGTGATAGAACTAAATCTAAGACCGTATTGGCTGGTAAGAAAGCAGAGATGTGCTCGTAATTCAGTGTGTCCACTCAGAATACGTACCATTACACCAACTTCAGACTTGCTCATTTTGAGGAGATTTTTTGTCTTGCTCTCATCAGGGTCACCCCATAGAATCTTCGTGGTTCTACCCACTGTTTCATTATTCCAAGAGGCCTTATGGAATTCTCTCACCCATATTTTTAGTTCAGCTTTTGTTGCGTCGAATGTTTTTGCGTTTGTCAGGTTAACTGCCTCGAGCTCCCTTCCCTTTAAAGCTATTACATTCGCCCTTTTGTTGCAGACTACTCCCGAGTGGGCTGGTACCCATATGATGTGAACCTTACTTCTGGGAGAGTATTCAGTTAAAGCTTCCTTACAATCCATTACGTTTTTAGATTTAGTTCTATCGCCTGATATCGCCCTAATTGCCTTCTGGCTGTCGATAAATATATTAAGCGCTGTGGGCGCCATATTTATTCTAATCCAATTTACGTATTCCGTTATTGCTCGTACTTCTTCCTGGAAGCTTGTGTTATGTTTTGGTAAACGGTGGTATATTTCTGTTTCTGGGTCTTAAATATAGAACCCCAGCCCCACTTTGTCCCCAATATCTTAAATATGTTTCAATGGGTGGAATATCTAGCAACGTTTCCAGAGCCTTGGTTGAAGTAGTACACATGGCACCACTTATACCCAAGCAGCATGTACGCAGAACTCCCTGTAGTAGTTTGATATTGCACTTTTTGTCTAAAGTCCACCAGATTATTGAAGCATAATCTAGAATTGGTCTAATTACACTTTTAAAAAGCCAATTTATCATAGTAGGACTAAGACCCCATTTCATGCCTATAATTCTCCTACATATCGCCCAGCACCTATGTGCCTTGTTGATCCTATCCTCTATGTGGTGTCTCCATTTTAATTTCCGATCGAGGATTACACCTAAGTACTTAACTTTGTCTGTCACTGGTATCTTCTTGCCCAGGAAGCAAGGTTCAGTATAATAAATAATAATACGTAGAAATTTTTGCCTTTCTTGTGAAAAGACAGATTTCCGTTTTTACCGGGTTAACATTTAGGCCTCTCGGTTGAGCCCAACTCAAGGCCGTATTCAGAGCCTTCTCAGCTCTTCTACACAAGTAATTTAGATCCTTTCCCTTTAAAAGTATTACGACTTCGTCTGCATAGCAGACAGGTCTAAGTCCTTTCTCGGTTAGGGTCCTTAGGAGGCTATTGATCGTGGTAACGGTGACAAAATGCCACCCTGTGGTATACCGCGAAATACCTTTTTCCTGATAGTTATATCGTACATCTCGCAGTTTATCCATCTGTTCCTTAGCATGTAGTTGATCCAGTTACGGAGCACCCAGTCAACATAAAACTGGTCTAGGGATTGGATAAGAGTATCAGTGTGCACGTTATTGAAGGCGCCTTCGATGTCAATGCATACTCCCAGTGTATATAGTTTGCTATCAAAGGATGCACCTATGTAGTGGAGACTTATCGGTCGATAAGACTTAAAAGTCGAATAGCTAGGTTTCCCTGGTTTAGATATAAATATTACCCTTGCATCCTGCCATTTAATGGGGGTATATGTGAATTTCAAGCATGCAGTGAATATCTGAGACAGATGTACGGAAACCAGTCCCACCTCCATCTGTTAGAGTGCCTGGAAAATGCCATCCTGCCCTGCAGCTTTATAGGGAGCGAATCTCTTGATTGCCTCTTTAACCATATCAGATGTAATTACAATTTCCGTGTTAGCCTCCCCTTCCTTCAATATCGGTTCATCTATGTTATTCGATATACCGGATGGAAAATGAGAGTCCATTAGGAGTTTCATTGTCTCCTCCATATCCTCCAGCCTCCTGCCCGTATCATCGACCATAAATTCCGGTTGGACATGAGTTTTGGATAGGAATTTTTTTATCTTCGATACGTCATTTACGCTGTCTACCTGTTCACAGAAAAGTTTCCAGGAGTCTCGTTTGGCTTTACGATCAATTTTCTTATACTTACCAAGTTTACTACGATATTCATCCCAGTATACTCATCTCCGCTACCGTCTTAGGTGTGTTAGTGTCCTTTTCGGGACCGGTTTTGAATTAAAGTTACATTTTGAATAAAATAAAATATATTATAGGGGATAAGCTAGTTACTATGGGCATTTCGCTGGTTGCTTAAGCCAGCTCATCAGGAAACCTTTCCTAACTTTTTAGAAAAACTAGAAATGTTTATAGTATATTATTTTTTTAAACTCATTGAGAATTAATAGAATCTACTACATATCATTAAAGTTTTAATAAAATAATAATACATTTCTATTTTTATTCTTTTCTTTCATTTCATGCCTACAACTGGTTGGTTTTTTCCGACTCTAAATGTAGTGTGGCTCAAGATTTTTAAATTTTAAACTTGTGCGGGCACATGCAAAATTATTATCAAAATTTAATTAATGGGAATTCTAAGTTTATTTTTTGAGTCTTTAATTTAATTAAAGTTAAATTTTGAATAAAATGAAATGTATTATAAAAATAATTTCGTTTCAATTTCTGTTTTATTTCGCAACGATCCCAGCTGAAACGAAAAAAAGTTGGGGACGATGACGAACACCGAGGTTTACGGTGTATGCGGAAACGCAGCTTTTAACAACATTGAGTTAAATGTTATGGATTATTCGAGTTAATACTCAAATACACTAGTTTTCAAATTATAAGTTAAAATCGAAACGTGAAAATAAATAAAAATGTCTTTATGTAAATAAACAAGTATTTTAACACTTACATAAAATATTTAAAGAAAACGGTGGGCTGTTTCCTTCACCTTCCGCATTAAAACCAACACAGGAATAATTTCCTGCAGTTGACCTTGTTACACCTTGCAGTACCAGCGAATGATTACTTACTATAACACCTTGTGAAATATTTCTCGGCAGTGGATTTCCCTAAAAGTGCATTATTAAATTAAAATATTATTAATACAATATTACTTTTTAAATGTTTAATTAGAGGCAGTAGAATGATATAATAAAATTTTTCGAAATAACAAGATACACTATCGGACAAAATAAAGTGCAAAAGTGCTCATGCTACATTATTTCATCGAAAAATCTGTTAAATGATTATTGAATATGGATTTTTTTTTAAATTCATTTAGTTTATATACAATGCTACAAAAATAACAATAAAACAAATTTATTCCACCGAAAATTTTTCTGTATAACATTTTAAATTAAAGTAAATTCACTTTTTTGTCGGACAAAATAAAGTGTAAATTTTATATATCATTATTTTAATTTTATGTATATCAAAATTTTTTATCTATTTTGGTTCTGATTTGAATATCTGGTTCTACTCAAGTCATTTTTGTAATTTTTTTGCCATTATTATTCGCAATCGCCTTCCCTTCCCCTTGCTTTCCCCCATACTATTATTTTCAAAAGAAATCCGTTTTTGTTCGCTATTTCAGCGGATTTTTTTGATCAATTGTGGTCAAAAATTTATCTATTGGATTTAGGGCGATGCTCTGAGTAGGTCATTCCAATTTTTCAGTGTTTTTTTTTCTTACAATAATGTTTTTAACCTTTGTCATTTGTTTGAAGTCATGAATCTTTTGAGGCATTAATTCTTCCAAACCCATTTTTACGGCATTTATTTAAAAATGTTTATTAAATACGCTCGTGAATTGCTCATTTCTTAGCTTACTCCATTTTTACTAAGATTGAATAATGTACCAATACCTATAGCCCTCCTCCATAATGTTTAAAACCCTGGGGTATTGTTTTTAAAATTTTGTATATTGAAGGGCTTAACTCACACTCATTGTCGATATTTTAAAATTTTCGGTACAAATTGGAACTCATTTGACCAACTACGTAAATTTGAGCAAAAAAATACGAAATTAAATACTAAAATCGAAAAAAATGTTCATGCTTTTAAATATGTTGGTGAAAGATTGAAGGTATGGATCAGATGACTCTTCGTATGTGTCCAATTTTTAACGTTAGGTGTGGGGATCCTATGTGAAATTTATTCAAAAAGCTCCAATGAACACTATGTGAGCATATTACAGTCAAATCTTAAGGTCAGTGCCTTCGAAATGGACTTGGGCAACTTTATATTTCGGCAAGATAATAAGCTTAAGCACTTGATAAAGTTAAAAAAATAACATTACCTAAGCACCGCCCTAAGTCCAATAGATTAATTTTGGACCACAAATGATCAAAAAATTCCGATGAAATAGTGATCAAAAACGGATTTCTTTTGAAAATTATCATATGGGGAAAGCAAGGGGAGAAGAATAAGAATCTGTTTTTAAAATTTGGCAAACACCTCCAAAATCTTGAGATACGGGTACAAAATTGGGTTTTCGTACCTTTAAGCACTTAAGTATATGTCAGTAACTTTATCGATTTTATGTTTCTAAACGGATTTAGTTTTGCACAGTTTTCCAAGTTTAGAGATGTTTTTACAAGGTATTTTATTGTATTATTTAATTCTTTAAAAAACTATTGCAATATATATATATATATATATATATATATATATATATATATATATATATATATATATATATATATAGATATATATATATATAGATAGGGTTAAATATGGGCCGATTCTCTTAATATTTCGTAAAAGATTTATGTTTATATAAAACTTATTTGTGAATTTCTAATATCACGATGAAATTCAGGATATATAACTTTTTTTTAAACATGAATCCTTTTACCATATTCAACCCTATTCCCAGTTATAACTCCAGAACGGTAAATAGTAGAAACACGCTTTGTACCTCAAAACAAAGCCAATATTGTACTTCAAAATGTATATTATATACAAAATTCTTGTTACTTTAAGTCAAACAGAGTTACAACATATTTTGTCTCCAAAAACGTGACTTGGTCGCGGTAGGTATGTAGGTATGTTGCTATTAGGTAAATATTTTACATCATAATGTACATGGATTTAGTATTATTAAAAATTCCCCAGGCCATTAACATGTCTCAGAGCACTTCATTAGGAAATGTGAAAAAATTAATTTAATTTAATTTTGGAAAATATTCTAATAAAACTATTTTATTACATAAAATATATCTATATTTACTCGAATGTAAGTTTTTGTCCTTAAAAGATATCGTGAACCTGTTCTTAGCTATGATCAAAAAAAATGTTTTTTACACGACAGTTTCAAAACTCCATTTTCAGTTTTTAAATCTTCGTTAAACAAATTTTAACATTTTTGAAATATCACCAGGATATTTATGATCTATAGATTAGGGAATAAAACAGTGAAAAAATTAGGTCAATACCTCTTATAGTTAAACTATAAGACCGATCCTCATAAAATTTTGCATAGTGATTTTGGATAACAAGAAACTTACTTATGTCGAATTTCATCGCTATATTCGTATTTTTAAACAAGTTATGGCTGTTAAAGCTGATTTTCGAGGGGCCACTTGCATGGGGGCTATCCGAAAACGTGGACCGATATTGCCCATTTTCAATACCAAACAAACCTTACCTATAAGAAATACTTATGTGAAATTTCAACCCTCTAGCTCTTTCCATTCGGACTCTATCGTGCTTTCAACAGACAGACAGACAGACGGACGGACGGACAGACGGACAGACATGGCTAGATCGTCTTAGAATTTAATGAGGACCCAGAATATATATACTTTTGTGGGTCTATGACCAATATTTCGATGTGTTACAAACGGAATGACAAAATCAATATACCCCCCATCTTTTTTGATGGTGGGTATAAAAATGAATGTGTGTTTGTTTGTATGTTTCAACGTTATAGACTACTAAACGGCTGAACCGATTTTCTTGAAATTTTCACAGCGTATGTCTGGAATAGGTAATAGGCTACTTTTTATTTTAAAACTTCAAGTGGGTGAGGAGCCACGCCCATATTAAGAAAATATTAATAATGATTATGATTATTTAGTATAAAAATTGGGTGGACTACCATTAGGGGGCACCTCCCATATAAATTAAATACAACAAATCGTTTATCTTGGAAGGTATTACAGTTAGAATCTTAAAATTTTACACGAATAACTTTAATTCCCATATTAATTAAATACAAAAATTCGTTTATCTGGGAAAATAATTCTTAAAATTTTGCACGAAAAACTTTAATATTCATCTGAATATTTTTAGAGGAACAAGACTTTCAAATAGAAAAATTTGTATAGTTGAGAAACTATTAGAGCTATAATCTTCAAATTTTACTTGAAGAACTTTGATATTCATCTGAACATTTAGAGTATAACGGGCGGACTTTCAAAGGGGGACTTGGCACCTCCCATATGAAGTAAATACAATAATTTCCTTTATCTGGGAAACTAATAGAACTAGATTCTTCAAATTTTGCACCAATTACTTTAATATTCATCTGAACACTTAGGAGGAAAAGAGCGGACTTTCATAGAAAAATTCGTATGTCTAAGAAACTATTAGAGCTAGAATCTTGCTTGGAGAACTTTGACATTCATCTGAACATTTAGAGAATAACGGGCGGACTTTCAATGGGGGCTTGGTACCAGCCTCTGCTTTGCAGTAGGTTATCTGCTTTGTTGCCATTCTCCCCTGAATCTTCTCTTTTCAAGAATAAGTCTTTCAATATCCGATTTTGAAGCAAGCTTGTTGGCGTTTTGGGGAATTGGACACTTGGCATGTTCCAATACCGAAACAATCAGTGACATGAAGTCGCTGCCGTATGGATATGACGGATAATACACATATTTCTTATATTTTTGCCAATTTGTCCTATAGTACATTGACTCAGCACATTTTCATAACTAATATAGCAAACCACCACCACTGTGGTTCCACTGACTTTACCCAGCAAAAATAAAACGAAGTACTTCCATAAGAAGAACATTTATTACCACTTCTAAAGTAGCATTAAGTGATTTTTTTACCTGCTGTGGAAGTTATGTTTAATGACTTCCGAAGAAGCGAAAATAATCCAATTTTTACAATGCAGAAGATATAAATATTTTTGTTGTTATGAGTTAAAAAATTTTATTTTTGGGCTTTTGTATTAAATGTGTCTATTTCCCTTATTAATGTTAACATTATTTAAGTCAAATTAGTAGTAGTAGTAGGTACGGGTTCGGAGTTCGGTAAAAAGTGAGGTTCGGCTAATGTTCGGTGTTCGGCGAAATTTTGACCGAACACCGAACGTCGAACTTTTTATAAAATGTTTATTTATCATATTTTTACATCATCAAAAATTTTTAAAAAAGTTGAAAATTTGTTTACAGAAGTTATCATACATCTTGGCTGTACAATAAATTTCCGATATGCATAGGTACAAAACGCCTTTTTAACTGTTCGTTTTTTCGGCTGATTTGAAAAACTGTTAACCAGAAACTGATTAAAAAGCTAAGAAAAGTGAAACATTTAATTTGAATTATCTCATTTGTAACATCGAAATTATATAGGTCCTTATTCTCAAACGATCTAGACATGTCTGTCAGTGAGTCAGTTAGTCAGTCTGTCAGTCTCTTTAAAAAACGATAGGACCTAAAATTTTTTATGAACCAAAATTTCATATAAATCGGCAAATTGAAATTTGCGAATTGTGTTAAGTATTATAAGTATAATTTTACTGATTCGATAAAATTCATTTTGATTTCGATACATATTTAAAACGAAATTTTAATCACATTGGATCATAACATGATCATGTATAACAATATTATGATAAATACAAAAATATCATGATGAAATATTTTGACGGTATTTAATCATAATATGATATTTTAAAATTGTTACAATAACGATAATATGTTTAGACTACAATCATAATTTTAACCATAATACGATGTCTAGATCATGGTAACCATGATCTAGGTTACCACAACCATGTTTTTTCTCTGCGTGCTCTTACAGAGAATTATATCATTGTCAATAAATCGTTTAAAAA